ATACAGAGTCGTGTTCAGTGCTATATACAGTAACATAATTACTGAAGAAATGATCATTGAGAGCTCTAAATATATTATAAATAAGACAAGCCCTGTTTGGCTTACTATCACAATGATGACGACGAGTGTGCAAGATTTCCAAGTGACAATAAGATCATATGTCATCGGTGCCCACGCAAGTGCGATGTAGCGGTCGATAGCAATACAAGCAATTGAACAAATTGATATCAAAAACGATGAGTTTAGTATTATAATTACCAACCACATATAATTACTCTTTAGTAACAAACATACGTAAGCAAATATGATAAACGATGCATTTGTAGCGTCAGTTAAAGCCAACAAACTAATAAAGACGTTTCGTTTTTTCCGGAGCCTCTTGGTGGCAATAATCAAAACAATAACAAATGTGTTTGCAAGAAATGTCAGTGCACAGAATACGCAGAGGGTCGGTATTGCATAGAGAAAGAAAGGCTCTGTAGTAAAAACCTCAAAAACTTCATCTATCCACGAGCTCTCATTTCGTACACCCGTCTTATTAATCATGTTGATATCCTGATTTTCGAATGTAATCAGTAGGTGTACTGGTACGGAAAATAATTATGGATAGACTCTGAATATAAAGCAATCTTATCACAAAACGTCATTCAGTGAATAATGACGATTCTTTGAAAGACAATAAAAATGCACTAAAATGAGTCAATAATTATTCAACTGATTTTATTAAGTCTGGATAAGATGATCAGGTATTCAAAACCAGTAGTTTCTGTTAATATTTTAAGTAAATGACTGATGCTTTGTTCTCACTATACGTCCTCTTATCTGTTACATGTTTCTAAATGTACGTACTCCGGTGGCATAGGCTACATCTAATATCTTAACTGACACGGTCACTATACGTATTCAGTCACTGTCAACGTATTTACCGAACATCAACTAATGAATTGCCTAACATAATGACCATATTTGGAAGAATTTCATCTAGTCTTTAGTAATGACCATATTAACTGTCAAAGTCATATATAAAATTAACATCCGGGATAGATGATTATTCATCAAACTAAAAAAAATTAGTAGTATTTGTTGAAGGTTGCTGTTAAATGTTATATTGAGCATTTTCGTATGATCGTCATATGTAGATACAGAGTATATTGAGCAGGTTAAATTCATATGTATCGGATACGTAAACCTAATACTGTATCTAGACACAATAAAATGCCTCTAATACTGTCTTAAATTTGAGACAAACCACGTATTTAAATGCTTCTTTAAATTCAGTACGTCGAAACCAGTAAAAAAATATTGGATTCGCAAAAGAGTTTATCATCATCAAGCAGTTTATGGAATAAACTGTAATAAGTCGTTTCTTATTCATATCATATATTTGCCCATTACACTCAATGGAAAAATAGATAAAGTCACTTATTTCCAACTTCAAAATTAATGCTCCTACTATGTTCTTAGCAATCTTTTCGTCAATGAGATTTGGTTTACCATTGTGGACTCCGGACTTAAGCCTACAACGCAGCTTCTTAAAACCAATAACCATATAAATCATCAAAGAAAGGTAAATACATTGTTCGAATAAAGGACATAATAATACATCGTGTAGTAGTAATCGAGTCTTGAAATATCCGAATACAATATTTCCGTAGCACTTAATATTTTTCTTAATTGAAAAATACAGGGTACAAGATAGTAACAGCTCTGGAAGAAACGGGACAGGAAAATTTACGGGTCGCTTTTTGTTAGTTTTCACAATACTTTTATCATTAATCTTACAAGTATGTTTGTCTAGAAAAATGTAACAAAAGATTCTGACGGAAAAGTAATTTATTCTAGACTTGACCTATTTATTCGGACTTGTTCAGTATGATAAAACTCCGTAATAGTTTTGTCAATTTCCGTGCGTCCGTATTTAAGCAATATTCGCTGCGATGGTGATGAGAATAGACCAAGTTCAGAGTGAAGGCCTATAGATGTATTGAAATGCAAACCTTGTTTTGCATCCCTACGTGACCATATACGATTATCTAAATAGGCCTATATATATTAATAATAATTTATATATATATAATTATGTATATCATATGTTTGTTTGGGGATGGTGCGTATGTGTTTGTGTGGGTGCTGGTTGACGTACGTCTGGGGCCAAGTTGAAGGCATTATTAGCGCAAAGGATGACACGGACGATTAAAAGGATTATAATCATCTAATACACTGTACTTTTGTTCTAATACAAAGGGAATACATGTATAAACCTGACTAACATCGATATGAACGGCCATGGGTTGGATATTTATGGTGAAAAAACCTCAAAAAAGTATAGCTTTCAACACTTCAAGCCAAATGGAAATTGGGATTGGACAATAGTAGTTTGTCTATACAAACTTTTTGGAGGTTTCGCTGATTTTAATCTAGCTTGTAAATAAATTGGAAACTAAATTTGTAGGCTAAATGTTAGGTCCATAAGGGTGATAAATTACGGTAGTCGGTACCGGACGTTATACTGTACAAACTGATTTTTATACCTCATGTACAAACTTTTATACCGCGTCTCTTGGGTACCGTCGCTTGTTAAAATATATTTAACCAATTGAGGGCGTAGTTTATTTTATATATGGAAGGCCAAATTGATTATTTATTATACTCTAACCATAGAGGTATGATAAGAATAGCTCTATGACTCTAACTTATTTATAGTTTTTCTTTCGGTTTTTCTAAGATTTGCATGATTTAAAATATATCGTAATATTTATATATATAATTATGTATCAAAATGCATTGTGATATTAGTAATTATTAGCTAACGTATCATATATCTAATAAGTTTTGTCGCTTCGCTTGTTAAAATATATTGATCCGATTGAGGGCGTATTTTATTTTATATGGAAGGCCACATTTATTATTTATTAAACTCTGACGTATTTATAATTTTTCTTTCGGTTTTTCTAAGATTTGCATGATTTAAAATATATCGTAATATTTACGTATTTTATATATAATTATGGATCAAAATGCATTGTGATATTGGTAATTATTAGCAAATGTATCATTTATCTAATAAGTTTTGTAGAGACGTAAATGGCGTATCGTTATTTTAGCCTCATGACGTCACTTCTCGAGGTAAACAATCGACGGTGACAAGCGGCTAAAATCAGGTTATAAAACTTGCTTTTTTTCCCTTAAATCCCACTCAAGATATGATCTGTCCAATATAAGGACCTACGGTTTGAGTTTCATAGAGGTAGGAGCTTATACCATGGTAAAGGTGATTTTTGGCTGGACTAAAAGTGTTTTCTGGACAGAAAGGCAATAAACCAAAATGGCAATAGGCTTAAACCAAATACGGCAAACACTTCCAGAATGGCATACTGTAAGCCATAGGCTATATGGTAGTTGGCAAAAGGGCAATTTTATTTATTTATAGCCTTCAGCGGCGAATACATATCATTTCGGTCGCGCCCTCCTTATTGTAATGCATTTCGGTCGCGATAAACAGCCGCAGTATGGAAGGCCGATGTACGCACTAGTGCTTTATGTTTGGAAAGTAATTGTTAAATCGTTCTGTATTTTTAAAGTTTTTTTTTTGTGCGTGTGTTGGGACTTAGTATTAATTTTATTTATTTATTTTGTCTTTTTTTACGATGGTTGACTTTTTACGATTGTTATTAATTACAATTAATTTGAATATAATTTTTGCGTGTTCTTTTTCTTCTTACAGATCCAGATGTGGAAAAGAAAGTTTCTTTCCGATTTTTTTTTGTTAGTTACCAGGCGACTAGTACAGGAATAGGAAAAAATCCCGAAACTTGGAATGGCTATCAACATGTATTTCAAATTATATATTAAAACTGGATTTTAATATGTATTTTATAAATACCAGAATACGTATCAAAAATGGAAATAAAAAAAAAAAAAATACAAACCTTGTGCCTGCTTCACCTCAAGAATGCCGTGGGAATCTATTTTGTAAGAAATTAATTTTAGTGCAACTATAGAATAGGACTAGCAAGAGTGATTTTGTCGGGCTTATGAATATAAAAAGAAGCCCGAAATAATAAATAAATAAATAATAATAATAATAAATATGAAAATACCATATATTTCCTTCATTTCATTCATCATATATCATTCAGTATATGTTCATTTATTCAAATTCATCAATCTCCTTTTAATTTAAGCATTAATAAAAATAATTATATATATCGCAACAAATGTTAAAGTAAAATTTGTCTCAAACCAATTCGACTTTGTAACATTTGCGTTGTTTCTGTAAAATAATAAAAATAACATCGAGTGATACATGTAATATTGAAACATATTTCCAATGCGGCCCTCTACATAAAACCATAAACATTAAAGTGTACACGATTAAATACGGTAAAAATAGGCAAAATATAAGTTGTTGATAACATTCCTGCCTACTGATCGATCA